TGCATCTCTTCGACATTGTTTGCTTCTTCGATAGAACATACAATGTAATCAAACTTTGAAGTTAGTGATCGCAAAATCTTTTCTATGACCGCAACATCTGTGATTGAATCACCATGCATCCTCATTTTACTTGCAAGACTTATAACCTTGCCAATATAATCATTCACCATTTCTCGCTTTTGCATTTGGAGAATTTCAAAGTCTCTCCTAACTGCCTGTAGTTGAGCACGTTTTACTCTCGTTGAGCCTTGATACTTCCTCCTCATAGAATCCCAAATTTCCTTAGATGTCTTCTTCTGAAGCATTGTTTCCAAGATAGTCCTATCAATGGACTGAAATAAATAGTTCTTGACCTTCAGGTCCTTCAACTTCGATGCTGCCAACAGTTGCTGTTGACCAACTGAGAGTACCTCGCCTTCATTTGGCTCTTCATAACCCGTTTCCACCATATCAAAGAACTCCTTTGATCTGAGAAAATTTTCCATCAACATCGCCCAATGATCATAGTGACCATCGAACCTCGGGATGGCGGGCTGAACGTAGCTCTCAACTTGTTTTTCTGCTGTCATTTTTTGCTGCTGCAAGATTACTCTGATACCAGTAGTTGGTGACAACAGAAAACTGAAGTGAGATTGAGAGGAGGAGTGATTTGAATGATGGGGAGGGAGGTCCTTTTATAGGGGAATTCCCGGAGTTGGTTGAGAGTTTTGTGGATGAAGTTTGAATTCACCTCCTTCTCTTCGGTAGTAACTAATTCAAACTCTATTATTAGCTTCAACAGCACCGACTATCGGAGTTGGGTAGCGGCGGCTCGCAACATACACAGATCGGGCATATCGGTCTATTAACTATATCAATCAACCCAAAAGTTAAAATACAAAAAAAATATCTTACCCGTTAAAATACAAAAGCTCTCACAAGATCCGATGTGATTCAACTTTGACTTTTAATTTGACTAAAACAATTAATTTGATTTAAATAGAAGTTGTAATAGATGTCTTGTTTACTCGTGTTTGAATTCTAATTACTTTTTACGTAAGGAAGGAGAACCATTTGAATGAGAGCGGTTATTTTTCAAATCGTTGTGGACAACTTATATGAGTCGGCTAGGGTTTCTACTTTGGTGTGCGGAAATATATTTGACTCCAATGCCGAAAATGAGAAATTTCGTGAATATTTTAATAATTATAAAATAATTTTTAATAATATATTAAACCTTTATGTCATTTATTCTTCACTTAGAATATCAAACTGCTTCATTAGACATTAACCAAATTACAATAAAGCTAAATTTTTGTTTGCATGGAGAGAGTCTCCTTATTCCTAAAGCTGCTCCCAAGCTGAGCAGCAAGTTTTCATGGCGACCCACTCTGAGATGAAGTCTGAATCGGAGTAGCGCAGCACCGGCAACAGGATCCCGCCGGAGCTGGCTCACAGCACACGCAGGCCGGGCATATCGGTGGCCTATTAACTGCATCATCACCAAACTCAAAAGCTTAAATATAAAAACTCAAACAAGACATGAAAAAAATTAAATGGTTACTAAACGGAGCATTAATGAATTCTTACCTTGTTGTAGAAGCACACGAGTAGCGTTGACAGTGGAAATCGTCGTGGGGGAGAGAACCATGGCGAAGACGAGAACCGTGACGAAAATGGAGGTTGGAGTGAATTTATGTGTAGTAGCCATTGTTGAAATTCAAAGAGCTATCAAGAAGTTGGTATGGATGAAGCTTGAAGCTGTATATATGTGTTTATATAGGAAGCCATGGAATATCGAAATTGGCTGAAAGAAGAAGCGAAATTAAGTATATTTGTACAAATTTGACTTTTTTTTTCTTCTTTTTACGTTGCATAGTCCAACTTTTCATCCAATCTTCTAATATTGTATACGAAACAAATCAATTTTGATGGGTCGGAACTCGAAATTCTAATAGATCTATTTCACTCTACTAGGGTTTATTTTACTTTTTATAGTATATATATATATATATATATATATATATATATATATATATATATATATATATATATATATATATATATAT